AATGGAATGGAATGGAATAGAATAGCATAGAATAGAATAGGAAAGAATAGAAGATGGAATAGAATAGAATAGAATAGAATAGAATAGAATAGAATAGAAAAGAATAGAAAAGAATAGAAAAGAATAGGGGAATGGAATGGAATGGAATAGAATAGAATAGAGAATGGAATGGAATGGAATAGAATCGATAGGACAGAAAACAGGATAAAATTAGAATTAGAATTTGAACAGAATAATATATGGTTCAGCAAAGATATCATATCAAAATAAAATGACCTGCTTCATGCATCAGGTGGAGTCCAGGGTGAGTTTTTCCATCACCTGCTAAAAATCCAAACCACCAGCCCCCATTTTAGCCTGTCTCAAGTGTTGTGCGTGTGAACGCAGCTGTGGTTTTTCAACCCTTTTCATCTCAAAGCACACAGCGTGCTAATTTGCACGATGGCCCATCTGGGTTGCAAAACCCCAGGGTTCTTCTGTACGCACCCTTGAATTTTCTTCAATTTCGCGACCGGAAGCTGCAATTGTTTCCACCAATTCAGAGACATCGAGATCCTCGTTGACCATTCCAATGTAAATGCAGTTTTTCTCCGCTCCAAATTCTGGCCCTTAGAAGGAAGACGAGACAAAAGCGAAACAAGATGATACCCTGGGCTGCTGTTTCTTTCAAGCCTGACAAAAGGGAAGAAAGCCGAGGCCACAAGAAAATGCCTTTTTTCTCCACGGTGCTCTTTTTAAAACTTGGGGCGATTTGGCAAACGATGCATGGGATTATTATTTTTTTTACATCTTGGAAATAATATTGAATACATGGAGAGAATCATGAAAGACCCTTCCTGAGCATCTTTGAGGTGGGAACCCCTGCTCACAATGCCGGGATCTTTCGAAAAACGAAACGAAGAAGAAGAAAAAAAAAAGACTGTTTGATCAATAACTCCACCAAGAGAGATGAAATGGATAAATGCAAATTTTCTCTGTGGTATGACTACATGGGGGTTTCTTTAGATTTTTTTTAAACCCACCTTTATTATTGTTATAAATAACGAGATAAATATGCATACTACTTCTCCACTCTCCTATTTACCCCGTAGCAGCAGCAGCAGCTCTGTGAGATGAGCGGGAGGTCAAAGAGAGGAACTGGCCCAAAGTCACCCAGCCAGTTTTCATGACTGTGGCGAGACTAGAACTCTCAGCCTCCTGGTGATGGGCCCCCAAAGCACCTGGCTGGCTTTCATGCCTAAAGTGTTACTAGAAATCCCCGGCTCCTGGTGATAGGTCCAAGGCCACCCAGAAGGCTTTCATGGCTAAGGTGGCACTAGAACTCCCAGGCTCCTGGTGATAGCTCCAAGGCCACCCTGCCAGCTGTCATATCTAAAGTGGTCTAGAACTCCCAGGCTCCTGGTGATAGGTCCAAGGCCACCCAGGCGGCTTTCATGGCTAAGGTGGCACTAGAACTCCCAGGCTCCTGGTGATAGCTCCAAGGCCACCCAGCCAGCTGTCATATGTAAAGTGAGACTAGAACTCTCAGCCTCCTGGTGATGGGCCCCAAAGCACCTGGCTGGCTTTCATGTCTAAAGTAGTACAAGAACTCCCAGGCTCCTGGTGATAGGTCCAAGGCCACCACCCAGGCGGCTTTCATGGCTAAGGTGGGACTAGAACTCCCAGTCTCCTGGTGATAGACCCAAAGTCACCCAGCCAGCTTTCACGCCTAAAGTGGGAGTAGAACTCCCAGTCTCCTGGTGATTGGCTGAAACTCATCCAGCCAGCTTTCATGCCTAAGTCAGGACTAGAACTCCCAGTCTCCTGGTGATAGCTCCAAGGTCACCCAGCCGGCTTTCATGCCTAAAGTGGAACTAGAACTCTCAGTCTCCTGGTGATAGGCCCAAAGTCACCCAGCCGGCTTTCATGCCTAAGTCAGGACTAGAACTCCCAGTCTCCTGGTGATTGGCTGAAAGTTACCCAGCCAAGTTTCATGCCTAACGTGGACCAGAATACAGGGTCATTCAGTTTCTAGCCTGGTTTCTAGATCAAATGCAGAACTAGAAGCATCTCTTTCTGACACACGAATACACACGTTTCATAGATAGCCAATTACCTAAAGAAAATAACAGGTCTGATTCCAGTTCGTTGAGCTTCTTCAGAAGGCCGCTGTTTATCTTCTCCATGTCTTTCTCTGGCGTTTCTTCATTTTGGCCCTTATACCTTTCCAAAACCAAGTCAAAAGCAATTACTGATTTACTTCCTTTCCTACTTTTTCCCACATCCCTGCTGATCTGTGCTCCCGTTACCAAACTAGGGAACATCATCAGTGCTCTAAGGGTGTAGGGTTTGCTCTTATTTTATATACTAGTGCGGAGTGCTTAGGTCTGGCCTGTGGGGCCTTCCCTAGAAACAGCAAAGGATGAAGCTTGGCCCAGGCTTCATTTTCAGCTGCGAAGGCCTTCTGCCGCCCTCTGCCAGTACAAACGGAGCTCTGTTTTCGCTGGCAGGGGGCGGCAGGAGTCCGTCGCAGCCGAAAACGGAGCTCGGGAGCTTGTTTTCGTTGGCAGGGGGCGGCAGGAGTCCGTCGCAGCCGAAAACGGAGCTCGGGAGCTTGTTTTCGCTGGCAGGGGGCGGCAGGAGTCCGTCGCAGCCGAAAACGGAGCTCGGGAGCTTCTTTTCGCTGGCAGGGGGTGGCAGGAGTCCGTCGCAGCCGAAAACGGAGCTCGGGAGCTTGTTTTTGCTGGCAGAGCACTTGGGCCACCACAGACGCCCCCAACACAAGTGACGCCAAGCTGGCCACGTCCACCCCAACCCACCGAGGTCAAACATAACCAACACGGCCCTCAATGAAATCGAGTTAGACACCTCCATACTAGTGGCTTGCCCTGTTTCGGCAGAACCCACATACCTGACCACCCCAAGGCCGGGCCAGGTAAAATCTTCCACGTAGGACAAGCCAACGGTTCTTTTCACTTCCTGCTCGAATTCCTCTCTCAGCTGTAAAGTGCAGTTCAAAACCGGGACCTTCATTTTTAAGCAGTCCATCAACTGATCCACGTCTTGAACTTCGGTTCCTAAAACTGAAAAGATTGGGTACGTTAGCGTGTTTTCTGTCTTCGGTACAAAGGCAGCCTTTGTCATCCTGCAACCCAAGCAAATACCTCCCATTCACTGAATAACCATTGGAATTACAACAGCGATGAAAAATGGACTTATGGCCATTTTTCACACAACCACTGCAATCCTGCCTTCTAACCACTGCGCCACCACAGCTCCAATGACGATGTTTAAGGAAGTGTGTCATTTGCCACCCTCAATGAAAATTGCCCACTGGATACAAAAGGAAGCCGGTTACCTGCAGAAGTCATTAAAGGGCTGAAACGCACACAGGTGCCTTCGTCCTCCAGATCAACCAGATCCACCCCGCTGGCAGGGACCAACTGCGCCAACTGTTCTCCAAGCTTAAAAAAAAAAAGCAAGCAAGGCAAAGCCCAGATTAAGGAAAGGAATAGATTTCCTGCTGCATGTAAATCACAAGCTATTTTCTCATCTGTGAAGATTTCAAAATAGGCTTCTGTCCTAGTTGCCTGGAGGGAACTGATGCCCCAGTAAAGAATTTAAGACAAGCGTATCTGCTCAAACATTGTTCCTTTGTGTGGTGAAGTAACATTTGTACATTCTTTTCAGAAAGTTTGAGAAAGTTTGGATCCGACAGGCATGCACTGGGTTATTTTTCACCCCTGAAGAAATCAGGTGTCAGCCTTGGAAGACGTTTTTTACTCGGAAGCTTCGAAGCTGCCACATTCAGTGCCTGGGAATTTGGGAGGGGGGATTTCATAGTCGGGTAGAAGACTAGACACAACAACATTCCTTTCTCAGAGAGTCAAGGACATGTTGCCCTGCACCTGGAGGGGAGCGACTAGAGGGATGTCTCCAGTTGGGACGAGAGATTTGATTGCACCATGTGATGGACTGGTGGGTGCAGAGGATGGCTCTTTGATTTTTCTTTTTTTTGAAGGGAAAACCCAAAACTCTCAGATTCGGGTTTTCCCAGATGTTCCAATATGACAAACTCTAATAAAATGGAACTTTGAGAAAATGCTGGTCTCTGAGTTTATTGATTTGGAGTTGGCTAGTTGGAACACTGACAGGATTTGAGTCCCAAACTCATGATCTGCACGCTGTTAAGAAACAACTGTACCTACCCACTGGTTAAAGGTATCACCAACGTCCCTCTCGTTCCCGGTGACCGAAGACGGTTGCGCAGCGTATAGCATCTGATCTGAACTCCAAGAAAGAAAAAGTGACACTGATTTAGTAGGAAGAAATTAACATGCTGCTAGAAGCATTTTTTTCCTCAATAGCTAGTTTTTTTTTCAGAGTTATTTTTTATGCAAGTTAAGATGACAAGGTTTAATTCTTACTTTACGGATTTCAAAATATTGATACACTGCTCATTAAAATAATATTCTAATAAACTATGCGACCGGCAGGTTGCATGTAAGTTCAAACAATCAAACAAACAAATAATACGGGATTTTAAAAGCATACAGCCCTGATTTTCCTGCAGATAATTTGCTCACGTGAATAATAGATGTCATCCTATCAGACAGAAGCCTGCAATTTATAGAATTTTTCAAAAGCAATGGCACAGGTAGTCATTCCAAGATCTATCTTTAATAAATGTAAAACATATAGCATCTTAAATATCCTTTTTAAGATCTCTAATGGGGGGAGGGGAAAATATTAGAAAGCTAGAACCTAAAATTAGCAAAATATAAAAAGTCCCTTCTCATAAGTGTCTGCTTTTCTCACTGATTTTAAAAAAATACAGGTCTATGGATCATGAGGAGCTTTCCTTCTGCAGTCCTCACCTATATGCGACTTTTCTGGCGAAAACTTGAACACCACCACAGGAGAACTAAATTCATCTTCAACCTTGAAAATAAAATTTGGAAAAAAAATAGAAGGAAGTCTTTTGAGAGGACATTTAAATCAACCTTCCGCCCCCACTAAGGCTATTTTTGGAGGGGGCATTTTGGAAAAAGAAAGGTTGAAAATGGAAACGTACTGAGGTTCGAATAAAATCTTGGTTCTTCAGGTTCTCCAGTAGCCGTTGACTCTAAAAAAGAAATAAATAAAATCAGGGGAACCATTCCAAAGATAATAGCAATAGCAATAGCACTTAGACTTATATACTGCTTTGTAGTGATGTACAGCCCTCTATAAGCGGTTTACAGAGTCAGTATATTGCTTCCAAAAATCTGGGTCCTCATTTTACCAACCTCGGAAGGATGGAAGGCTGAGTCAACCTTGATCGAACTCCTAACAGTGGGCAGAGTTAGCCTGAAACACTGCATTCTAACCATTCTGCCATTATGCTTGCCTTCCTGCCTTCCCAAGCAATAGCAGACTTATATACCACTTCGCAGTGCTTTTACAGCCCTCTCTAAATGGTTTAGAGTCAGCCTCTTGCCCCCAACAATCTGGGTCCTCATTTTACCGACCTCGGAAGGATGGAAGGCTGAGTCAACCTTGAGCCGGTCAGGATCGAACTGCCGGCAGTGGGCAGAGTTATTCCGCAATACTGCATTCTGACCACTGTGCCAACACAGCGCCTGTATCAGTCGTGTACATCTACATAAAACGCTAAGTGATACATTCAAATCTAACTGTGATATTGAGATATTAACATTTCAAAATCAAAATGTTTTCGCATGTTTTTACTCTTGTATTTAGCACGGTTTCTCAACTTTGGCAAACTTCAAGATGTCTGGACTTCAACTTCCAGAATTCCCCAGCCAGCTTTAGAGGCTCAGAAACAAAGTTCCTCAACCTTGGGCAACTTGCAGATGCGTGGACTTCAACTCCCAGCTGGCTGGGGGATTCTGGGAGTTGAAGTCCACCTGCATATTCAAGTTGTCAAGGTTGAGATACACTTTTTTTGACACACTGCTTTTTTCTCCCACTGCTGGCACCTTTAGAAGAGAAAGAACGAGGTGGTTTTTTTGTACCAATGACTCTGAGGTCCCAAGTTCTGAGAATGAATCCAATCACTTCCTGAGGAAAACCCAAAACTCAAATCTATTTGCGCTCCTTACCAGTTGGGAGGCATGCTTAATTCTCTGCACGATTCCATCGTGGCCAAGATACTGCAAGGAGAGCCAGAGGGACAGAGCACGCAGTTTCTCTACCACCTGGCTGGAGGTCAGGCCTGCTGCTAGCGACTGCAAGAAACCCAATAAAGAAGTAAGCGCCAGGTGTACCTTCCTCCTCTTGTTTCGTCGGATTTTCCTCTACTCATCTCAAAAGCTCCATATAGATTAGAGAAGCAGGGGAAACAGAAACCAGGAAGGGTTGCCTGAGGCCAGCCTGAAAAACTCAACCTATCTTCTCCTATTTAAATCATTGAAATTCAGATTTTAAAAGATGGGATTTCTAGGCCTCAAATTCACATCGGAAGGAGTATTAAAGAGAAAAGCATTTATTATTATTTTTTCAATTTGTAATTTCCCTCCTAAAGCAAAGTCAATGGGGCAGGTAGAACTTCAGAAGAGAGAGAGAGAGAAGGAGAGGAGAG